CTATGGCTTGCAAGTGGAAGAGTGGGGAATCAAACCCAGTTCTCCCAGATTAGAGGCTGCACACTTAACCACTACACCAAACTGGCTCAGACAATTCCCCATTTGAGGCGTGAACTGGTTTGTTTGGTCAACAGGAGCAGGCCCCGTTTCGCGGGTGGAACGGAAGGCGAGCAGGTGAGCTGACTATCTGGCAAAGGCCTTGCAGGGAGTCCTGCTCCAGTCCTCACGACCTGTCACTTTCACTCCGGCACAAGATTGCCAGCCTGACCATCTACATTTTTGGATACGATGAAATATGCAACTTAGCTGCTTAAAATGAAAGACAGACCAAAAAAAAATACCAAAAAAAAATTACACCTGGAAAGTATATTCACACCGAACCAATTAAAAAAATATATCCTGGGGGGTAAACTTAATCTCGAATGAACTGAGGAGTGGATATTTCATGTATCCTTATAGGCCTCGCCTTTCTGAGCTGTCTTTTGTAAACAGTGAAATCCAGGTGTCCCCCCCCCCCCCCGAACCCTGAAACCACCCAGACTCCTGAAAATGCTTCCACTACATGTATCAATACTTCTTCAGCACCAAGGAGCCACAGTCCTGAATTCTGTCCATCTCTCTTCAACGGTCCCTCTAAGCTGCGGAGTCTTGTGAGCAAAAATTCTACTTGGTGAGCTACTGGCATGAAAGTTGTGTGTGAGCGATTTGGCTACTCCATAAATTAGTTTGCTCTAGAACCCTCCTTCCTGAGCAAAGACGAAAATGTGTGAGCCGGAGGCTAAAAAACTGAGCTAGCTCACACTAACTCAGCTAAGAGGGAACACGGATGTCTCTCTGTTTTGACTGCCTGAGAAACTGCAACATGCGCCCCCTTCCCCTGGGTGAGTTTCGCAAGTGTTGGTGTGGAGGGGCTCTAGCGATGTTCCTTCTAATGTGTCCCCCCCACACGCGGAGCAATTCACATCCCAAGAAGAACAGAACCTCTATCGTCTTAAAACAGGAAATGGGCAGTGCAAGACCCTGCATGGCTCCAGATGGCTGCTGAGCGGGGCTTCCTGGGTTAATGAGCGACTAAGCCCACGCCCAGCTTAGAGGGAACATCGCTTTAGAGTCAAAACGCAACCCACAGCCGATCAGAGGGAGGTGGTACAAGACAGTGAGGGACCTGTGGAGTCAGAAGGATCCTTTGCTGGGATGATGCCGATGGGACCGCACACCTGGCACGGCCAGGCAGCTCCAGGAGGTTGAGCGGTTGGATACTGTCAAGTGCAAGAAGCGCTTCTGCCTCCTGTGCTATTAATAATGCCCCACCCACCCAGTCCTGCAAGGGAGATGCATTTCCCCATCGCCTTCAGAAGGGAATATCCAGCAAAAGGCACTTCTGGGGTTGCTGAATGACCTCTGCATCTGTTCCGGTTCAGGGGAAAGCCGGCAAATGCCGAGGGGAGGTTGAGGCAGGACTTGGGTGCGAAATGAGACGAGGTGGGGATGGACGCAAAGGGCGTGAGCAGCCCTGGAGGCTGGTTGAGATCACTGGCAGAGGACCATCCCTGCTGTCTGAGCTCCCCGGGCAAGTGCCAGCAATGGGCAGGGGCTTTCCAACAGCAGTGCCAAGACTTCAGCACCCCCCTCTCCATTGAGGGTCATCTCAGACTCCCGAGAAAGACATTTCGTTGCCCCCCCCCCGCCTTTCTTTACGGTGCCCATCAATGGGTTTTACTGTTAGCAATTGAGACTTACCCGCTTTGTCGGGCTTTATTCTCTTTTATTGCCATCTTACTTGTGCTCATCTCAATTCTGCGGCTTTTGGGGTTTTTCGAATAGGATGCTTTTTTACTGCCTTGAGGGTTTTGGGATGCTATTTACGCTCACTGCTGCCACGCCTCGGGATCCGTTCTGCCTGCTGTTTCCTTGCTGCCGTTTCTTCGAACAAAATCACGTGTGAGATTGGATGGCACTTACTTGTATGAAATTGAGCTGGACTGAGATGACATTTTTGTGAAAGCAGACAGTGACATTTTTGTGAAAGCAGACAGAAAGGGAGCTTAGAGAGAGGGAGGGAGGAATGCAGGAAGCCAGAACTTCAGAAGTCCTCATGGGTAGAGGGGAGGGGCCAGACACCTTCCTGCAATAGACCATCCAGACTGTGAATCCAGCAGTACCTTAGACAGGGAATGAGCTTTTGAGAGTCTAAGCCTGGACCCTAACCTGGATAGGCAAGCCCAACTCTGCCAGTTTGGTGTTGTGGAAGTCAGGGCTCTTTTTGTAGAAAAAGCCCAGCAGGAACTCATTAGCATAATAGGCCACACCCAACAGCAAAACTCATTAGCATATTAGGCCACACCCATGACAGCAACACTCATTAGCACATTAGGCCACACCCCCATGTTACCAGAAGTGTGCTCATCTGTTCTTTCCCTTCTTATTCTGTTTACCTTGTTTGTTGTCCAGGGCTTTTTTTGTAGCAGGAACTCCTTTGCATGTTAGGCCACACACCCCTAATGTAGCCAATCCTAATGAGTGTCTGCTATTGGGTGTGGCCTATTATGTTAATGAGTTCCTGCTGGGCGTGGCCAACTCAGGAGCCAGCCGGAACTCAGTTCCTGTGCGTTCCTGCCCAAAAAGAGCCCTGGTGTGGTTAAGTGCGTGGACTCTAACCTGGGAGAACTGGGTTTGATTCCCCACTCCTCCACCTGCACCTGGCTGGATGACCTTGGGCAAGCCACAGTTCTGATAAGAGCTGTTCTCGAAAAAGAGCTCCCTCAGCCCCACCTGCCTCCCAGGGTGTCTGTTGTGGGGAGGGGAAGGGAAGAAAGGAGTTCGTAAGCCGCTTTGAGACACCTTTGGGTAGTGAAGGGCGGGGTATAAATCCAATCTCCTCCTCCTCCTCCTCCTCTTCAATCTCATCAGATCTCGGAAGCTAAGCAGGGTCAACTGCGGTTTGTACTTGGATGGAGACCTCCTTGGAATACCAGAGCAGGAAGGCAGGGGCAGGGCTTTATTCAGCCACCTCTCTAAATATCCTCCAGGCCCCCAGGAGGGGGCCAGAGGTCAACGTGCCTTCCAGGTGCACACACAGAGAGAGAGGGAGGGAGGGAGGGAGTCGAAGCTTGGTATCTGACAAAGGGAGTTCTGACTCTGGAAAGCTCATTTCTGGAAATCTTGTCAGTCTCTAAGGTGCCTCTGAACTCGAATCCAGCTCTTCTACTGCAGTCCAATGCAGCTTCCCCTCTGGAACTATCTTAACCGAAACTGACCCCTTTAAAGTGGAACTGAGCACTGATCAGGCTTCTGGGCTGCTGTGTATGCAGATCAATTGCTCCCAGGCCTCCAAAGCTGCTCTTGTTGTGACAACACTGGAGGCTGCAGGATCTATCCCCAGGGATGGCTACTGAGATGGGTCTTCCCTGGGCTAAACCAGACACCGACTAATGAATTCCCGAGATTGGGGGCGGGGATGACGATCACGGGAGGGCCACGGCCCAGCGGCTGCTTTGCTGCAGAGCAGTTTGGCTTCCCTGGGGAGAGGAGGACTCTCGGCCAGTACGCAAAGGTGGCCAACTGGCAGGGGCTTCCCGGCTCCCCCCCCCCTTTTTGGTTAAGTGTTCTCACTGAGTTGGGAACGGAGGCAGTCAGCTAAAGCAGGAGGGTCAGGGGCTCCCTCCAGAAGTCAGGGCTTTGGAAGAACAGCCCAGGCCGGCCTGATCTCGGAAGCTAGGCAGGGTCGGCCCTGGCTAGTATCTGGATGGGAGACCTCCGAGGAATACGGGGAGACTCGTGATGCAGATGCCAGGCAACGGTGAACCGCCTCGGTTAGTCTCATCTTGGAAACCCCACAGGGTCGTCTGGGACTGGAGGGCGCTTTCCACCACCATTTATTGAAGAATGCCCACATGGGTGGGGAGAATGCCCCCCTCACCCGTGGGAGGAGGGAGACGTGTCTTCCAAAAGCAGACACCTGGAACCACTTCAGGATTATGTTTTTCCAAGAGCCAGTTTGGCGTAGTGGTTAAGTGCGCAGACTCTAATCTAGGAGAGCCGGGTCTGATTCCCCACGCCTCCACTTGCAGCGGCTGGATGACCTCGGGCAAGCCATAGCTCTGTCAGAGCTGTCCTAGAAAGGGCAGTTCTGGAAAGAGCTCTCTCAGCCCCACCTACCTCACAGGGTGGCTGTTGTGGGGAGGGGAGGGGGAGGGAAAGGAGTTTGTGAGCCGCTCTGAGACTCCTTTGGGTAGTGAAGGGCCATGGGGTATAAATCCAATCTCTTCTTCTCTCTCAGCGCCACCTACCTCACAGGATGTCTGTTGTGGGGAGGGGGAGGGAAAGGAGTTTGTGAGCTGCTCTGAGACCCCTTTGGGTAGTGAAGGGCGGGGTATAAATCCAATCTCTTCTTCTCTCTCAGCGCCACCTACCTCACAGGGTGTCTGTTGTGGGGAGGGGGAGGGAAAGGAGTTTGTAAGCCGCTCTGAGACTCCCTTGGGTAGTGAAGGGCGGGCTATAAATCCAATCTCTTCTTCTTCTTAGTCATTCTTAGTCACTCCTACTTGTACTTAACCATCTAGATAAAAGTTCTAATGTAGCTTGCTTTACTACCTTTCTATATGCAGGGGTGTGCCTTTTGTTGATGAGCGATCCATTCAGCCATAACTGAATGGGGGAGGGGGGAACAACACTGGGAGGGCTTCTAGTGTCCTGGCCCCACTGGTGGACCTCCTGATGGCACCTGGTATTTTTGGCCACTGTGTGACACAAAGCGTTGGGCTGGATGGGCCATTGGCCTGATCCAACACTGGCTTCTCTTATGTTCTTGACTTCATCTCTCCAGCCGGCACCCATTAATTGGGTATTTCAGAGCAACTTTTTAAATGTTAACAGTTTAAGATGCATGGCAAATAATCATCCGTTGACATCCGGGAGGGGGGGGGGAGAAAAGAAGTACAAATTCTAAGATTAAATAAATGCATTTTATTTATTTAGTATAGTACTTATTACTTTGCCAGCTACACGAAGCAACCAAACCCTTCCCATGTCAGCAGGGCAGAACCACCAATTTAGGGGTAACTCAAGAAAAGAAAGGGCTCGGGGGGGGTAGTTTGCTCCCTCTCCAAACACGGAGATCTGATCTCGGCTTTTAACAACTCATTTCACTTTCATAAAAGGCCAACAGTATTTATTTCAAACCGGGCATTCCCCCTCAATCAACTGATTAAAGACCCCCTTATCAGCAGATGAACAACCCCCTCCCCCCAATCCTTATTACCCACTGTGGAAAACTGCCAGCCAAACTCCAAAGAGACTCAACAGCTGATGAATCAGTTTATCTGGAACCGGAGGATGCTTATCTGTACAGTGGCCACTTCCGGAGTCTTTGCAAATCGTAACAGGTGTGCCAATTCAACATTTATGTCGTGCCCCGTGGGGCTTTGCCCTCTACAGGCTCTGGGATAAGAAATGAGAGCTGCGGAGGCTGGAGGAAAGATACGGGCAGAGAAGCAGCCCTTTCTGCTCAGTTGGGAGGGCCTGCCACAGGATTGTCCACCCACCAATCTCTCAATCCCTTATCGAAAAAGGAAGTTCAGTGTGTGTGTGTTAGAAAAGGATTAGCAGCCTGTGAGGCAACAGCCCCCTTCGGTTAGGACACTGGGGGACACACACAGATACAGAACAAAGCCCGTAGTCCAATCCCCTTGTTAAGGAGGCACCTGAAATGAGAAAATAACCATTACCAGATAAACGCAACAAAAAGGGCATTGGGTGTTGACAGTGTCTGAGAAGATTCCCCCGGAACGGCGCCGGATCCAGAAGGTGTCATTGGCTCTTTTCAGGGAGAGGCCCCAAGAGCTTCCTTGGCAGGTCCGCGCCCCGCCAGTGCAATTTGTTTTTACACTTAAAAAATAAAACGCAAGAGTAGCTTTGCATCTAAATTAAAATAGAATCTTTAAACAAATCAGGTCTTGCGTGAAGTTTGATGGGCCGGCCAAAGCCGAAACACGATTCGAGATACTTTGGTCACTCTCAACGCTGTGGAAATGAGACCTACAGAAGGCGGACTACCTCTCACGGCTCCCCAAAGAGTGTGTGTGTGTGGTGTGTGGGTGTCTACGTTCCACTCCTACTCTCCCCTTGGAAGATCTCACCCCTTAAAGCATCTAACAACCCCCCTCTGATTTTTCTCCTGAAGTGCAGTTTAGAGTTTTGGGCCCAGTAGACAAAGCAATCTGATTTCCCTCGGGAGTTCTGGGGTGGGGGCAGAACTCTGAAGCGCTTCCAAAGAACGTAGACGTTACCCAGCAAGCCAGGAAATAAATAAGCTGCCTTATTTGTACTAACCAGAGCACTGACTTAAAAACCACCAGAACGAATGGAATATTTCAAGAAGGGCTTGGTCACAAAAGTATTTTGGGGTTTTTTGGACATGGATTTGAGAACGGCAGGCAGATGCTCCTGTTCTGGGGGAGGCAGATCGTTTTCTTCCCCTTTGAATTACTGTGACGCCTGCTAAGCTTTACACTCACTTTGACCCAAAGAGAGGAGATTTTCACGAGGGTGGGGAGGTGTAGAGAAGAAACGTTAGAGCAAAGTTTTAATTCAAACGCTGCCACTTCAGAACAAGGGAGCGGCCTCAGAGAGGGAGAGCACCTGCTGTAGGACACCACCCTTGGCCTAGCCGGAGAGAGAGCCGCCCCACAGTCTTTGCCTGTCCCGTGCCTCCTGGACCAGGACGCAGAACCCAGACGCAGAAGTCTCTACAGAAAGCGTCCGTCAATGGAACGCATACAGCAGCAACAAGATGGTGCAGATGCCGATGACGCCACCCAGGATGAGGGAGTCTCGCCGCTTGCGTAGGTTGATCCGCTGGATCAGGCTGTTCACAGCCGGAAAACGATCTTTGGGGAGGCGGGGGTTAAGGTCGTTCGCACCAAGCAATGCCCTTCAGTGATTTCCAGCCTCCAGCCCCGCCCCCTCCTATAGAGGAATGCACCGCACTGAGAAGACGGTGGAAACCAACCAACGCTGGAATGCCCACGTGTGGGGAGGGCGGGGTAGAAGTTTAATAAATAAACAAAATAAAATAAAAATTCTCCTCTCGTGGAAGGACTCTGCACCCCATGGACCAAGGCGGCACATGCACAGTTCTGGAATTAACGTATCTCTAGTGAGTTCAAGAAAAGCTACGGAATCTGAATGCAAAATTCAGCCTCCTAAGAGTCTCGAGCAGGTTTCTGGTGCTGAGGGGGGCTGCAAAAACCCCCCAAAACAGATGGTGCCTGGGCCACATCTGGGGAAACCCTCTGAGGATCTCTGTGGGATTTCCAGTGGTGAGCAGGGTACGGCGTCCTCCTTCACCCGAGAGCAAAAATATGCCTAGAGAAGAATACGTGTGCACTGGCGCTCAAATACACACAACTTATTCAGAGTGCAGAGTCCAGCCTCCCCTGATGTGAAATACACACAGTGCTATAGAGGCTGTTCTATGAGTATTAATATTACTATTGTTTACTCCTTTAAGATTGTATATGAATCCTTTTCACACCTCCTTTGAGACAAACTCCCATTTTACAGGCAGAGGAATTAAAGCTGCAGACAGGATCAGGGCCCACATCTCCCTGATTCAGCCACAGTTCCTTGATTCCGGGAACTCTTTACACGCGGATTCATCTTTTGCACCTCCAACATGAAATCCCAGCCGGGGGGGGGGGGGGGGAGAGCTCTGCAACTCACCTGGCTGCTTCTTGCTCTGACTGAGGGCTGCTGGGAGCAGAGGGTGGGGCTTGTTGCATGTGCCTGCCCCCTGGGCTCTTTACTGCCGGAGCTCTGCTCCTGTGCGGCTCCTGCAGGAAATGACCCCTGCTTGAAATTAATTCTCCCATTTCACCAATTGTCTCTTTTTTTGCTCTGCACATGGACTGGGCCAATCAGTCACCTGAAAGCCCAGCAGGCAGAAAAACCACTGCTCGACCTGGTGGGCCACACTTATTCCCATTGAGGAGGTGGGACGCTGCACCCAAAACGTCACTTATAAGGCAGCCAAAAATGTTCTTCGTTGTCAGAAGCATCAAGGGCTCCGATCCCATGATACCTCACCAGTCTGAAGGCAACTGTATGTGGCCCACAGAAGAGACAGGGAGAAGCAGGAGGCTAGCATTTATGGATAATTCTAACACTACTCAACAACGGCCTTAATGTGGACCTCCGGCTGTTTCAAACATTTTGCCAGAGGCAACCAAATAGGGTTAGCCACATGAGCACATCTGCAGAACATCCAAGATGGCGTGACGAAGAATACAGCTACAATAAGCAAGGGGGCTGAGGCCTCAAATGCTCATTGAGCCCGTGTGGTGTCGTGGTTAAGTGCGCAGACTCTAATCTGGGAGAACCGGATTTGATTCCCCGCTCCTCTCCATGAAGCCAGCTGGGTGGCCTTGGGTCAGTCACAGTTCTCTCCGAACTGTTCTCTCAAGAGCAGTCCTCGAAAGAGCTCTCTCTCAGCCCCACCTACCTCACAGGGTGTCTGTTGTGGGAAGGGGGCAGGGAAAGGAGATGGTAAGCTGCTCAGAGTCTCTTTTGGGTAGTGAAGGGTGGGGTATAAATCCTCCTCCATCCAGGATCAGCTGGCATCCAAAAATGCAACTACGACTCAAGTTCCCCCCCCCCTTGCTCCCAAGAATCTTGCAAGACTCTTGCTGTTCTTATCACTCACTAGAAAGGGGGGGGGGGAGAGTCTAAATGAAATTTATGGTTCATCACCCCGCATATCTCTGGAATAAAATCCGTCTAATCAAATGAGGCTGAATGCTTTTCTTGGGCTCAGGCAGCAGCAGGGAGGAGGGAAGCCGGATGCACACTCCTCGACAGTCAGAAGAGAAGAGAGAAGAGACTGGATTTATACCAGACCCTTCACTACCCAAAGGAGTCTCAGAGCGGCTGACTATCTCCTTTCCCTTCCCTTCCCCACAACTGACACCCTGTGAGGTAGGCGGGGCTGAGAGAGCTCTGACAGAAACTGCTCTTTTTCAAGAACAGCTCTTATCAGAACTACGGCTTGCCCAAGGTCACATCAGCAGGTGCAAGTGGAGGAGTGGGGAATCAAACCCGGTTCTCCCAGACTAGAGTCTGCGCACTTAGCCACTACACCAAACTGGCTCAGTGGAGAGAGACGAGGCAAAACAGGCACAAAACGTGGACCAAGGCCCTGGGAAGAGACATGGGCACCCTGGGGCCAGAGGAATGGCAGCCGCAACACGTACATGTCAAGCCTGAGATGACCCTGCAGTGAAGCAAGGGAGTGGCCCAAAGAGAGAAAGGCAGGCCCGGAAGTCCACGAGGTCCAGGATATATAAAGCCCCGTAGGAGGCTTTATATGGAATGGGGAATCTGCTTATTCATGCTGGAAATCTGGTGGGGGGGAGTGCTTAGCTTTGTGTGCCGTGATGGAGAAACACAGAGCATCTGGATGGATACCCGCCACAAACAGTCAGGGCTATCCCTCGCCCGCTAAACCTGGCTCACATCCACTGGGGAATGAGGTGGCAGAACAGATTGGGCCACTCCCAAGGGCAGGTGGTGGGGTGCATTTTGAAATGCCTGCCATTAAAAATATTCCTGGAGAGCAGCAGACTACTAGCACAGCCAGCAAAGAAGAGGCAGAATCTTTCCCCTTTGCCTATTAGATCTGCACGGACTTCTTGAGGCACATGCAGGGAGCTGGAAACCGCCACCTGCATTCCGAAGAGGCGCTGCCCATTCTGCTACTCCATTCTCCACGTGTGGACCACGTGTGGACCCAAGCCTGAGAGAGCAAGGCACCATTGCATCTACATGCACTTCTACTGGGTGTCTCTTCTTAAGGAGGCCTCAGAAGAGAAAAAGAGAAGAGATTGGATTTATACCCCTCCTTTCACTACCCAAAGGAGTCTCTGGGCGGCTTACAATCTCCTTTCCCTTCCGCTGCCTGCAACAGACACCCTGTGAGGTAGGCGGGGCAGAGAGAGCTCTTTCAAGAACTACTCTTGAGAAAACAGCTCTTAAATAACTATGCTCCCTCTAAGCTGTGGAGCCTTGTGAGCAAAAATTGTACTTTGCGAGCAACTGGCATTAAAGTTGTGAGTGAGTGATTTGGCTGTTGCATAAATTAGTCTGCTCTGGAGCCATCCTTCTTGAGCTAAGACAAAAATGTGTGAGCTGGAGGCTAAAAAACTGTGAACTAGCTCACACTAACTCAGCTTAGAGGGTACACTGCTTGTGACAGACCCAAGGTCACACCAGCAGCTGTACGAGGGGAGTGGGATATCAAACCCGATTCTCCCAGATTAGAGCTCACACTCTGAACCACTACACCAAACTGGCTCTCTGAGACAAAACGCTTTTGGGAAAGGTGACTGAATTTTCATTCCAGCTTTTACACTCTCCACCCCTGCCCCCACCCCTGGAATCTTTTGTCTCTTAAATGCCACATGTTCACACACAAAGGAAACCACCGACTTGGGAACCCGCTGCAGACCCGGAAAGTGTGTTTCACGGGGAGACCTGTGAGACTGGTGCTCCTTTGTGCTCTATCACAACAAGCACTCCGGCTCTCCTCCCCCTCACCTCCTCTTGTTCAGCATTCACTGAAATAAGAGTGTTTGTAACCAGCTTTGCTCCTCCAAAACTTTGCTACGGGCAGAAGTTCAAGGACTTCCTAGCTACCTTGGGTGGTGTCCTTAGAATATGGAGTTGTGACACAGCAAGCGAAGGCTGAGAACCAGATTCCCCTACCCCCCCCACCTGCCCCAGAAGCAAAGATGCTTCTTGAAGAGAGGAAGCTGGGTAATTCGACTGAGAGACAGGATACGCATCTTCAAAACAAACACAGCCATTCGAAGGCTCCCCCACATGGGTCTAATTAGACAGCAATTACTCAGGACGCCAGGCTAGGCCTTGCGTGAAATTGCTCCGGGGACGGGGCCATTTCTCTTGGCTTCTGTGCAAAAGGAGACTGTGCCACCAGTGACTCTTTTTGCCAAGAGACGAGTGGGGAGCCGCGCTCTATCTGGACAGGGGGAGAAGAAGCCTGGCTCCTCAGAGACCTACGGCCAGTGCTGTTTGGTGGCAGTTGTCGGGGAGCAGCGGTGCTGTTTCCCCTGAACTTGCCTGCAGGCCCCAAGGACACCCATCCAAAGCCATGTGTCTTACATTAGCACCTGGGTTGAAAATGCAGTAACAAATGATGAGACAGGAACATATGGATTTATGCACTGAGGAGGGCACTGGCAGAACGAGGCTCTTCAGAAAGGATACTGGCCAAGGTGTTCATTTTGCTTTGTATGGACTTCAGCATCCCTCGCTGGGAGGCCATGTTTTCTTTCGTTGCCATGGCAATGCTGGGGAGCAAACGAGAGAGAGAGAGAGAGAGAGAGAGAGAGAGAGAGAGGAGAAGGTTTGTAACATTGGTACCCAGAAGAAGCCCCCAAGATGAAGCAATGGGCATACCAAGAGGATGTGGCTCAGGGACACAGCTATACTATGAACCCTCCCAAATGATGCCTTAAACCAGTGGTGCAGGGCCATTAACAGCTTCCAACTCCTCTTTCCCAAAAGAAAGCTGCAGCTGGACTGCTGGGGCCAGCTATTGGGACCATAAGAACACAAGAGAAGCCAATGTTGGATCAGGTCAATGGCCCCACTGGTGGACCTCCTGGTGGCACCTGGTATTTCTGGCCACTGTGTGACACAGAGTGTTGGACTGGATGGGCCTTTGGCCTGATCCAACATTGGCGTCTCTTATGTTCTTATGAGATGGTTTTGTTTAGGACGGCATTTGGCTCAGCAGCAGTCTTAAGCAGCGGTTGTAAAATGTTTGGCTTTTATGTTTTGCATGTATTTTATACGATGTGTCTTTACCTGTGTTGGTAAGCCACCCTGAGCTCCGCATTACTGATGCACTACTGCCCTCTCTCCAGGCTGGCTTGACTTTGTCTCAAAACCAGAACCAGCGAAAGGAACATTTTTATGACAGGAGAGAGAGAGAGACTCATAAAAGACACTAAGATTTAGAAACAATCCCATGGAATTAGGAAAAAAACTCAAAACACACTCATGCTGTGATATCACTGGGAAATTCGACATAATTTGTTTTTATACTGCAAGGAAAGCTCGAGGTGTCACTCCTCCGCATTGGATGCAAGCTTGGGGGCAAACCTGTAATGCGACAGAGCCCCAGAGCCAAAGGCAGACGGGCAAAGGAGTCGGCATAAAGCTTGAATCCCACAAAAGTCTCTCTCGCAAATCCACCTGCACACACTCTCTTGCCAAAGAGGCTTGGAGCCTTTGAATGTGGAGATTCCCCTCACTCACCATGGCTGGTAGCCACTGATAGCCTTATCCTCCATGAATCTCTCTTATCCCCTTTTAAAGATGTTTATTCCTAGGGCCACATTTCCACATTTTAATCACTCTCTGTGTAAAGTAGTACGCAGGTTAGAAATGATTTATCCAAATACTCAGGGGAAGATGAATGGCTCGGATGATATGTTCATGGAGGGAAAAATCACAAGGTGCAGTTCTTCTGGGCTGGTACCGGTTCTGACCAGAGGTGGGGAAAGAGAATCCTGGTTTCAAGGCTCCTCTCCTCCAAGGCAGCCAGCTCCCTGCCTGTACAACACCACCACACAGGGGAGAAGGATATGTTTCAAGCCCATCCTTCCCGATGCGCCAGTTTTCTATTGGGAGTCTCCCAGATGAGAAAACCTTAATCACACACAAAGCCATTCCCCCCCACCTGTACTCGGAAATTGTACAGCTCAGGAAAAAACCCCACTGCTTGATTTTGGTGAATCGATAGAAAGAGTATTAGGTGCTTCTGGAATGTATCCCAAGCGTTCAAAGCACTCTGCATAACTTTATCTCGGTGATCTGAATGATCTTTCTGAATGATCTTATCTTTGTACTGGCCACGGTGGAAGGTGGTGGTGAATGATACTAAGCTGGGGGGAAACAGCAGTGTCCCTCAGGTCTCCTTGCAAGGTGAGATTTGAACCCGCAGGGGCCTGATTTCATTACTAGGACCCCGCAGCCTCCCTCGGTTTTTAAACTAAGGGAGAAAAGAAGGGTTTTCTCTCCCCCCATCTCCAAATTCTCACCACCATCATACCCCAAATGACCTAAGTATTTCCTCCAGTGTGAAGGATCAGAATGACAAAGGTCTGAAAAGCGGCCCTTCTCTGGGACCACTGCGTGAGCCCATAGCAGCGATCTGAGCTGGGGAGCCGTAAGCGACACCCTTTCTCAGCACATTTGCAAATGATGCCTACGCAACCTACAGAGCTGAGTGCGGGGCCCTCCGCCAAGCAGGAACATTAAATACATCTCAGGCTTGCTCCCTGCAAAGGCCACAATTGCTACTCTGAGCTGCAATGAGCAAAACCCTGCCAGATGCTCTCGCTTGCATTTATTAAAGCACACAAACAAACAAAACCCATTAAGGAGGGAATAAAAGCCTGAGCGCAAAGCCTCCCCTGAAAAAGCCAATTAAAAATCTTCCTCGAGTTACTCAGGCCAGCAGGAGGAAGTCTTTTGCAGAATGAAGTCTGCAACCTCCCATTTGGAGCAGTGGGGGACAGGAAGGGGGGGGTGCTGCTGCAAGAACGTGGTGACAAACACCTGCAGCTCTGTGCTCAGAGTGACCTGGCTAGAATCGTATTTAATGTGCCCCCAGGTAAAGCACACAAACAGGTTAAGGACAGAAGACTGCCGAGATCAAAAGGGCAGATGCCTTTGGACTTCTGTTTCACCAGCTGCAGCCTAAGCTTATGCCACAGGGCAAGCTGCTCCCAAACCAAAGGTGTGTTTGAAAAGCAGTTCATCATGCACCCGTGCAGGAAAGCTACAGGTCACATGCTGGCTCCCTACGGCAAGCAGCCCCTCTCCGCCTGGTGCGTGCCCCTCCCAAGCCGACGTGGGTGCAGGGCTGTGCCAGTGGCGAGCGGCAGGAATGGCTCCTGGGCTCGATCCCAGGGCCATGAGAAAGGGCTGTGGCCTAAGCTGTCCCAGTCAGCCTAGCAGGGAAGACACCCTTCCTCTTCCATGGGGTGTGTGTGCGTGTCATCCCACACTTTACATTGTGCTTCTCGGTGTCACATGAGAAGCCACATTTTGCCCTCCCCTTGGGAAATGTGCCAGGACACAAAACACAAAACTGGGCGGTCCCAAAAGCGGGGAGTCCCGAGCACGTGTCCGAGACTGGGCGTGCGATTTGAGGAAAAGATGACGAAACCCCACCCTCTCACAGACACAAAGCCTTCTTGGGTGCTTCAAAGTAGCTCTTTGGTCTCTTGAATTTTAGGCCACCTTCTTTTGGGGGCTGATTCCCCTCCCAAGAACCTCAACTCCCCAAGAGAGGCCAGATAGTTCACAGTCCGGCCGCTGCCCCCTGCTCCAAAGAGCAAACGATGTCTCCAAGTTAATGCAAGTCTGAAGAGATCAACAGACCATGAATTTTCCAGGAAGGGTGGGGACGAAGAGGGACGGGGGGGGGGGAAATCTGGGTGTGTTGGGCATTCCCCCTCTCCCCTGCCCAGCTTTTGCCCTTGTGTGTGTGCCTGCGCACATTTGTGTTGGGCACGGGAGCTCCAGTTAGTTGCACAAGCCGAGTCCACCAGCTGAATCTTCTGAAAGAAGCCGCACACTCCATTTCCTTCTCTGCCTGTTGGGATTGTCTGGCTTAATGCAGCCTGACGGGCTAAGAAAAATCCTGCTTTTTTTTCTCCAGGAGGGGAATAAAAATAAAGCACGAGCGAATGACAGATCGCCTGCCTGCACGTTCTCCCCGCTTCCCCATCATAAAGCTCTGAAGGAGCCAGAGAGGAAGCGGGGAGACACTGGAAGTGCCGCTTCATTTAAGCAGCGCATGAAGCAGAACCTGCCATTTGTTTCACTTCATTTCAGGGAAAGCTGCCCACAGTGGAGGCAGGGGGACAAACGAGGTGTTTGTACAGGAGATGGCAAAGAATGCTCCGTCCTTCCCAAGTCCAGGAGAAACGACTCCCCACGCCAAGAGTTCTTGTTTTCTTTTTTTTTAGGATTGGCACACGGTTGAGGGAGACAGGAGAGAGGAGCTTTCTACCAAAGGACAAGAAAGCAGAGGAGAGACACGGGGGACACGGACGAATATGTCTCGCCCTGCCCTCGCCATAATGGAAACCACCATCTTGCCCACAAAAAGAGCTTCTGCTGCAATAAACCTGCTGTTCTGTTGAACCGTTGTGATGTCCTTTGGACAGTAACAAGCTAATGCGTGGTGGTGGGAAGGGCAGATAAGTCGCAGCCAGCTCATGGCGGCCTGGAGGGCTTTCAAAGCAAGAGAAGCTTTTAGAGACTGGTTTAAGCCCTTACAGAATTAGAAAGTATATAAATGAAAAGAAGTATGGAAACAAAGCTTTAAGATGGAAATTGTATTGTCACAGCTATTATGTAAGCTTGATGGAAATTCCCTTGATGCCTTAAACAGGCAAGAGAGGTCCAGAGGTGGTTTGCCATCGCCTGCCTCTGCATAGCAACCCTGGACTTTCTTGGTGGTCTCCCATTCAAGTACTAACCTGGGCTGACCTTGCTTAGCGTCTGCCTGGGCCATCCAGGTGAGGACGGCAACCCCAGTAGAATTATGTAACTATGCCCTGTTGCTGGCCGTTTAGAGGAACTGGTTGGCCACTGTGTGAGAGGGATGCTGGACTAGATGGTCTTCTTCTGTTCTTATGAAGGCCTCGGCCTCGGTGCCCTGTTGTTGTCTGTCCAGAGGAACTGGTTGGCCACTGTGTGAGACAGGATGCTGGACTAGATGGTCTTCTTATGTTCTTATGAAGGCCTCTGCCTCTGTGCCCTGTTGTTGTCTGTCCAGAGGAACTGGTTGGCCACTGTGTGAGGCGGGATGCTGGACTAGATGGTCTTCTTATGTTCTTATGAAGGCCTCGGCCTCTGTGCCCTGTTGTTGTCTGTCCAGAGGAACTGGTTGGCCACTGTGTGAGACAGGATGCTGGACTAGATGGTCTTCTTATGTTCTTATGAAGGCCTCTGCCTCTGTGCCCTGTTGTTGTCTGTCCAGAGGAACTGGTTGGCCACTGTGTGAGACAGGATGCTGGACTAGATGGTCTTCTTATGTTCTTATGAAGGCCTCGGCCTCTGTGCCCTGTTGTTGTCTGTCCAGAGGAACTGGTTGGCCACTGTGTGAGACAGGATGCTGGACTAGATGGTCTTCTTATGTTCTTATGAAGGCCTCTGCCTCTGTGCCCTGTTGTTGTCTGTCCAGAGGAACTGGTTGGCCACTGTGTGAGAGGGATGCTGGACTAGATGGTCTTCTTATGTTCTTATGAAGGCCTCGGCCTCTGTGCCCTGTTGTTGTCTGTCCAGAGGAACTGGTTGGCCACTGTGTGAGACAGGAGGCTGGACTAGATGGTCTTTCTTCTTATGTTCTTATGAAGGCCTCGGTCTCTGTGCCCTGTTGTTGGCCATTCAGAGGAACTGGTTGGCCACTGTGTGAGAGGGATGCTGGACTAGATGGTCTTTCTTCTTATGTTCTTATGAAGGCCTCGGCCTCTGTGCCCTGTTGCTGGCCGTCCAGAAGAACTGGTTGGCCACTGTGTGAGACAGGATGCTGGACTAGATGGACTACTGGTCTGATCCAGCAGGGCTCTTTTTGTTCTTATACTAAATATCTCAAGTTTGGTGAAGGTCAACATCAGCATCTGATAGTTGATGATCCAGGGTGAATTCTGTGAGTGCCCCCACTGACTAGCATACATCTCTGCTTGGTGGGACCCTTTCTTGGAAGTGGAGAATGCCATCTCGCATCCTCAAGCAGAAACTTGCATTTGTTGAATTAAGAAAGCAGAATGCTGCATTATATTCAAGCAACCTACAACTAACACTTACTGGGAGGGGGTGAAGGGAAGGATGGCAGAAATGACAGAAGTCTCAGAGCTGAGGGGAAAGACACTTCAGGCAAAACAGCTCGTCATTCCCAGGCAAGATGGAATCTTCTCTCCAACTTCACGCTGCCCAGCACAATTGCCTCCAACTGTGCAAAAACCCGATCAGTGAAAGATTTTACGTTTGGGCAGCTTGTTGCAAATCAGCAAAGAGAAGAGATTTTTGCAGGCTCTCATGGTTATTTGACATCCTGAAGGGTGAAAATTATGACTCAGAAAACCATTGGGGAGGTGGGGGAGAAGATTAGTTGACTGATGCTTGGAGGAACAGGGACAGATCCGGAATTAGAGCCAGGGAGTTGGAGTGGTCAGCCTAGGAACCGGGAGACCCAAGTTTGAATCCCAGTTCTGCCACAGAAGCTTGCTGGGTGACTTTGGGCCAGTAGCCCAATCTCAGCCTAACCTGCCTCACAGGGTTGTTGTGAGGAAAAATGCAGGCAACGAGATGAAAAGGAGACTGCTAAACGGTTTGTAAGGGAGAATTCTTGGGTCTGTCTGTCTGGGCCCGTTTCAGATGAGCAACTGGTCTTTTCTCACCACTGCTGGCCCAGGAGGAGATCTTAGTCCCCAGAAAACACGCCGGGACCTTGGAGGCCCTGCAGAGAAGACCTTTCCTCTGCTTGCCTGCCACCACAGCCCTTAAATCAACTGGCCCCCATTGCTCTTGCAACTGGCAGACTTCTGCAAGGAAGCAGGGCCAGCAGACGATGGCTGGCCTTGGCAACAACCAAACACTTTTGGTTGTCACAATGCCCTTCATCTCTCTGACACTGAACACCTGGAGGCCACTAGAGCTCCTCTGAAGCTCAGCATCAGGCCAGAGATGACCCCCCCACACACCACTTTCCCTATCATGGGAGGAGGGCTGCCGCGCATGTCCAGGCTGCACTGTCCTCCACGAGCAGAGTGACCTAGAACAGCCCTGTCCCTTCTGAGCCCGGCACCCTTCTCACAGGGAACTGTCCCACCATTGCACCGTATTTCAAAGATGCCCAGAGCACTTCCAAACGGGCTCTCCGTCCTGCCCAGCTCCAAACAGAGGAGGCAAGCTGGACACGGTCACATATGCCAGAGGCAGGGGGCATGCTTTCTCAGGAGGTGGGTCAGGTGGACAGAGGAGCGGCTGGCACAAGGCTGTTCCGGGTGCTTCCTTGAACAGGAATCCACATTCAGGTCTCCATGGCCCAAGGCTGGCTGGTGTGCCACCCAGGCACTTGGAGGAAACCTTGCACAAAGTGTCGTCAAGGGTCTTGGGGAAAGCCCTCGACCGGGAAGGCAGCAGAACCCTCTGCATCTCCCTCGCCTGAAGCACTGTGACTTGGCACAGCTCGAGCCCGGTGCAGAATCGCCATGTGCTCCAACTGGGTGATGTGGGACGAGGCAACTCATTAACAGGTGGGTGGTTTCCTCGGAGGTCTATCCCCCAAGGCAGCGGTAGCAGCGCAACTCCCAATTAACCACAGACACAAATGTTTGCGATTATCATGAGGAAAAGGGAACTAGAGGGAGGATGAGGGGAGAGAGCACGCACGAAAACAGGCACCCATCTGTCAAGGGTGTTTTTTGTTTAGACTGTGCTGGAAACCAGGTGATATCAATCCAGCTGCCTGCCCTGCTGCTGCCTGGGGCTCTGCGTCAGGAAACAAAAGCAGCAGAGGCAAGCCCGCCACGGTGCAGGCCATGTAGCCAAAGGACTGAGGACCCAGAAAGGATTCAGGGGTGCCTGCCCCAGTCCCCGCCAAGGCTCCCTCGAAGCTGTGGAGCCTTGTGAGCAAGAATTCTACTCTGTGAGCTATTGGCATTAAAGTTGTGAGCGAGCAATTTGGCTGCTGCATAAATTAGCTTGCTCTGGAGCCATCCTCCCTGAGCTAAGACAAAAAGGTGTGAGCTGGAGGCTAAAAAGCTGAGTTAGCTCACACTAACTCAGCTTAGAGGGAACACTGGTCCCCGCTCTTGTGCCTTTGCCCCAGACACAACAGATAAGAACATAAGAGAAGCCAGTGTTGGATCAGGCCAATGGCCCATCCAGTCCAACACTCTGTCACACAGTGGCCAAAAATACCAGGTGCCAGCAGGAGGTCCAGCAGTGGGGCCAGGACACTAGAAGTCCTCCCACTGTTGCCCCCCCCCCCAAGGCCCAAGAATACAGAGCAATCACCTGCCCCAGCCTGTGAGTTCCTACCTATACCTTTTGGCTAACAGCCACTGATGGACCTCTGCTCCATATGGTTATCCAGTTCCCTCTTGAAGCCGTCCATGCTTGTATCCGCCGCCACCTCCTGTGGCAGTGAATTCCATGTGTTATTTATTATTTATTAATCCCTTAACTGCCTTTCTGCTGCACAGCACTTCAGGCCCAAAGGAAATCAGGCCCAAAGGAAATCTTAAATGAAATAATCACAAGTGAATTAATAAAGCAACAAGATGTTAGGAAAAAGTGGACAACGTTGGAGATGAGGAGAATACAAGCCGGAGACATCCTCTTCCTGTGCCATAAGATGGGGTGGGCGGGCGGTGCTATGCATCATCCCTTCACCTCAAGCTCCTCCCTATGAGTTGCTTGGAATAAATCCCCCTCGTGCTTAAAGAATCTTGATTTTGGGGGGGGGGGGGGTTGTGACCAATTAGATCAGAGGAAGCACTTTTCTCAGTTGTAATCCTTGCCTGCCCTTCCCAAGTCCCTTATAGCTTTAAAGCATTCACAACCCTTAAATGTTCATAAGATCGGGGGCGATTAGGACTGGGGAATGCACACATCACAGCATGCGTCCCCCCCCCCAAGCCTAACTCCACCCCCTCCCTCCAAGATACTAAAGCTGTTCATAGAGGGTTCTACCCCGTGGTGACCACAGGTGCCATGGCACGGCAGGCACTTGGCTCCTGGGGCACCCACCATGTGCTTCAGGACAGTAGGGCAAGACCACTTCTGCCCCTCTCTCTGCTACCAAACAGCCCTACATCACAGCTTCCATTGTTAAATGGATGGATCTCCTTACTTCTGGGCAAACACACACTCTCAAGAGGTTTCCCCCAGTCCAGTGCAGGGAGAGAAAGGGTCGATTCTGTGTGCACAAGCTGTAAAAAAGAGGAGGTTAACAACACATGGGGAAAAACAGGTCCTACCTTATTGTGTCTTCTATCGCCCGGTCAGAACTGAAAGTAAAAACACAGGAAAACTTGGGTGAGAAACACAGTGTTTAAAGTGGGCCCGAGGAACTGCTCTCAGCTCACGAACTGGTGCATCTCACCAGCTTCCTTCTCCGAACAGTCAGAACCTACTGCGGCCCTTGCTGCCCACAGGAAAGGGTGGATGGACAGCGTGCGGCTACTATCAAGAGTGGCCGAGATCCGATATGGGGGCTGTTGGTCCCTCAAGGCAGATACGCTTCTCTTTTCCTCCTGGGTCCCAGCACCACCTTATCCACTCAGTTGGCCTGCTGACTCCCTCTGGCTAGAGGTACCTCCTTGGCCTTCCAAGCGCTGGACCTTCCCAGCCCATGCGGCAGCACTGACTGTTTGCTAGTTTAACCTGGCTGGGGAAAACCTACTGCAGATGTGACCACCACAGCAGCGAGGGGCTGAGGGGTGCCACAACCGTCCTCTTCTCAAACCCAGCAGTAGCTCTCGCCCCCGCCTGTTATAGTCTGTAGCTCCAAAGAGCAGCTCCTGAGAGCAGGGAAAGATTCTGCCTCTCATCTGCAAAGCCAGGATATGGTCTTTTGAAGGTTCACCCCCAAGCACATACAACGGCACGCCTTTCTACACTAGCAGAATGGCCTCAAGACAGCAAAGCCTTTACAAGGTTCTCCCCGTCACGTATTTCCTTTAGAGCAGATGCCGGCACAAGATACACACGCCCTTCGCCTAATTTCAGAAGCGCAGAGGAAAAACAAAAACAGATTGCTATTCTGCCGTGTGTGAGGCCTCGTTTAAATATCGTGGAATGGCACAGGCGAGTAGGCTACAGAAATCTTACGAATATTTGATGTGAACTGAACAGCTGTGTCAGTATGGGGCAGGTAAGCACAAACACATTGTCTTTAAGCCTGTCTACTTTTGATCCTCCATGCTCAATGGAATTTGGCCGCTGCCTTAAAATGGGTAGATTGTTTCTAAAAGGGGCTACCCCCCTCCCCGCCTGCATCACAACACTACTCTACTGAGCAACAGAACTCCAAACTTTACTAAGGGGGCTGTTTGCGTTGCCTGGCTGAAGGGGGGCAGGGAGGGCGCTTCCAATGCTGCTCCCAGCCCTGTGTGTGGTTTCAACCGGCTCCCTTCTGCTTCTCGGCTCCTGACAACCCCGCACTACCTGAAAGTGCTTTTGCACGGGCAGCCAGTTCACTCTGTGCTCAGAGCTCCTGATCGTCACTCCTGTGATCTCTCCCTGCATTTACCATTTCATTCTGCTTATCATTTGTGCCTCAAGGGCACAGTTCTGTTGCCCTCCCTCCCTCAGAACTAACAGGGATGAACCTCCCTGGATCTACCCCTGGGAACTGCCTCAGTCCTGTCCAGGCCTGGAAAGTCACTGCCCCAGGAGGTGGTGGCAGCGGCTACAAGCATGGACAGCTTCAAGAGGGAATTGGATAAACATCTGGAGCTATTAGCCAGAAGGTATAGATAGGAACTCTCAGTCTGGGGCAAGTGATGCACTGTATTCTTGGTGCTTGGGGGGGGGGCAACAGTGGGAGGGCTTCTAGTCTCCTGGCCCCACTGCTGGACCTCCTGATGGCACCTGGTATTTTTGGCCACTGTGTTGGACAGAGTGTTGGACTGGATGGGCCATTGACCTGATCCAACATTGGCTTCTCTTATGTTCTTAACTTGCTACCCACACTCTTCGCTTCTCTGGCCTACGTTCAAAGATCAGTTGGCTTTAACAGGCTTTGATCGGAATATCTGCAGAAGCTGTTCTACTGCTCTAAGCCTAAGCCAATCCCAAGTACTCTGCTGGGTGCACAGAAAACTATTGTGAGGGCAAAGTTCCACTGGGCTGCTCAGCCAGCTTCCCAGACAGCCTGCCACTCTGTGCGGAAAGAGAGAAACATGCTTGTCCGCAATGAGAAATACAGTCATTAAATAATTCAATGGAATGGAGGCTAACGCTTGCGTCCCAGCATGAATCACTGCTCTGAGCTTCCAATGGAGATGCCATCATGGCTGGACTCGTCTGTGGGTGGGCAATTATGACTTGAGAACTAACTCTTTGGGGGATGAACTATGAAGAGTGCCCCAGTCATGAAAACTAGGAGAAAGCTAGACTGGAGATGCACTAAAAACATCATTTGGCACAGAAAACCAGTGATGGTGATGGTTAGCCTGGAAGAGAGAGAGACAGAGAGACAGACAGAGAGCATATGTGTGTGTGAGAGAGTGCTAGCTGGATTTTTAACTGTTTTTCATTCTTAAAAATCGAGAGAATGAGATAGCTTTTCTTTTCTGGCAACCTGCAGACATTTGACAAAGAAAAAGAAGGTAACAAGTCAGGAGAAACGTAAGATGACTCTGGACTGCTCTCAGGCAATGAGGCAGGTGGAAACGAGAAAAGGGGAGGGCTCTTTCTCATTTCCTGCTGCTGGCGCACCAGAAATAAAGAACACAGCAGAATCAGACAGCAGGCCAATAAGAAGCCTACCGGCTCATAACTTCTGTGGTAAGGTAAAGGTAAAGGTTCCCTTGCTCGAAAGCCAGTCGAATCCGACTCTAGGATTGCGGTGCTCATCTCCGTTTCAAAGCCGAAGAGCCAGTGCTGTCCGAAGACATTTCTGTGGTCATGTGGCCGGCATGACTAAACACCAAGGCGCACGGAACGCTGTTACCTTCCCACCGAAGTGGTACCTATTTATCTACTTGCAATTTCTTGCTTTCGAACTGCTAGGTTGGCAGGAGCTGGAACTAGAGACAGGAGCTCACTCCATCATGCAGCACTCGGGTCTCGAACTGCTGAACTACTGACCTTCCACAGCCTGCAGTTCAGCGTCTTAACCACTTGAGCCACCGCAGCTCCTAACTTCTGTGGACCTACTTGCAAATGGCCCTTTGCATCATCTGGCATTGCAGACCACCACCATCACCCCTTTTTCCATCGACATGAATGAGGCGGCTGGGGTGGGCTCAAGGTACTTTGCAGTTACCCCTCACAGTGCAAGTCTGGGAGGAGAAGGTGGGCACAAGCCCCGCCTCCTTCTATGATGCCACTGGGTGGGAGCCTGGCGAGCCCCAGGGGTGCCCTTGGTGGGGAGGGATTGCAGTGTAGGGCAGTCAAGCCGCTCTGCACAGAGCTAAAGCAGCTGTAACTGTTGCATAGAACTGAGATTTGGTCAGAGGCACCAAGCCTGTTTCTAGGTCTTCTTGCAGCTTTCTGATCCTGAAGGCTTTCTCGCAGTGATGCAGAGCCCTATTCTACTTCTTTGGCGAGAGGGAGAGTGGGCCGTTTCTCTCTGAAGATGTCTTTTAGTCAGCTTTCATTATTTAATCAAGAGATAAGATTCCAGAAATTGTCTGGCGGAAGAGGCTCGATACTACAGCCTGGGCGGAAGATTTAACATCCAAGTTGCTCCCGCTGCAGCTGGCCAAGGAAGGGGGGGGGGGAGATACATGAATGGAAACAACGGTCAGGTTTTTAAAATGCTAATAACTAACCCCTAGAAGCTAAAATGACTAAACTGAGGCTATTGTACTTTGGTCACATTATGAGAAGACAAGAGTCACTGGGAAAGACGACGATACTAAGAAAAGTTGAAGGCGGCAGGAAAAGAGGAAGACCCAACAGAAGATGGATCGACTCAATCAAGGAAGCCACAAAGGCCCTCTGTTTGCAAGACATGAACAATGCTGTCAATGACAGGATGATTTGGAGGACATTAATTCATAGATCGAGATGGGTAGCTGTGTTAAGTTTGTCCATAGCACTAGAAAAGAGCATGAGTCCAGGAGCACCTTAATGACTAAAAAAACCTGTGGCAAGGTATGAGCTTTCGTCTCTGTATCTGATACAGCTGTATCTGAAGAAGTGAGCAGTGACTCATGAAACCTCATACCCTGCCACAAATCTTGTGGGTCTTTAGGGGTGCTACTGGACTTTTGCCCTTCTCTATTAACTCTTAAGGAGCTGTGGTGGCTCAAGTGGTTAAGACGCTGAACTGCAGGCTGTGGAAGGTCAGTAGTTCAGCAGTTCGAGACCCGGGTACCACATGACGGAGTGAGCTCCCGTCTCTAGTTCCAGCTCCTGCCAACCTAGCAGTTCGAAAGCAAGTAGATAAATAGGTACCACTTCGGTGGGAAGGTAACAGCGTTCCGTGCGCCTTGGTGTTTAGTCATGCCGGCCACATGACCACAGAAACGTCTTCGGACAGCGCTGGCTTTTCAGCTTTGAAACGTAGATGAGCACCTAGAGTTGGATTCGACTGGCTTTCGAGCAAGGGAACCTTTACCTTTTATTAACTCTTAAGGTAATTAAGATACACGTACAAATCAAGAGCCTGTCCCCTTGTTAAGTTATGAATCAGGAACTGTGATACCCAAACTGAAGGGCCAGCTAGTCCTGCATCTCGTCTCCACCAATGGCCCATCTGATGCCTTTGCAAGGTCTGTTTACTTAACAAGGTCAATAGTTCTTGATAAGCCTGCCCTGATGAATCTGTCCAACTGTATCTTATAATTACCCTAGGTAGCAGACATCACCGCAACCTGTGGCGGTGAATTCCATCAGCTAATTATATTCTATGTATGTAATTTACTTTTGCTTTCCTGTCCACCCTGAACCTACTGCCCACTGATTGCACTGGATGATATCAAATTGCGAGAGGGGGGGGGGATCTCTATCCACTTTTTCTAGGCATAGTTCTATATAGCCTTTCAATTGTATTTTTTCCTAACCTAAAAAGCTCTACACTCCTTATTAGCCCTTCCTTGTAGGAAAGATGTTCTCATCCCTTGATCACCGGGGTTGTCATTTTCTGCACCTTTCCCAGGTCAATTATCTCTTTTTGAGATGGGGTGACTCAACTCTAGTCTGAGAAACTGCAGGGCCTGGGAGGTGCTAATATTAACCACAAAGACTAGTTGGGTAGAAAACCAAGTCACAATTAGTAGATCCCTGCCTACTGAATAATTAGAATAAAATTATTTTAGGAGATCGGGTTTGGAAA